TTTAAACAAATTAAGCGCGGTCCACTGCTGCACACGTGCCACAATATCGATACTGGGCCAGCTGTATCGATACTCGTATCGTCAAATCTCTGTGACGATACATCGTCGTATCGATATGTTGAACACCGCACTAGTTAATATTAATTATTGTGAAATGTTGAATGACATATTCTGTTTAGTTATGAATATAATTTACACATCCTCAATATTCTGTTAAGAAGACACTCGTCCCTCATGAAAGTTGAGATGGATGTTTAAACAGTTTAAAGAGCAAGAAAAGTTTAAAAGAAATTGCATTGAATGTTAATGACACTGTTTTGGTAAAACAGGTCAGGTTTATTGCTTGAGTGAAAACCCCCTTTGTGGATTTGAGATGGCGAGCCACCCAAACTTGAATTTTGATTCCTGAACCTGGAAGGATACATCTTTGCTGTGACACGTGGACAATTCGTTGCATCAATTATTCGTTACGTCAACTTTTCTTCAGCTGGGAGGACATCTCTTTTTTGCAGGACACTTGTTTGAACTGGTAGGATTTAACTGAATTTGCACTCACCCACTGGACATCTTAAAGGATATTTTGGACGATTTCAAAGACAATTAAAAAAAAAAAAGGGTTCTAACAAGGGTATTTTGATTGACTGTTATTGAATGTGAATCAGATGTAAATTTTGGGATTTCCTTTGAACATTTTAGTTGTGATAAGATGTTCCGGTTTGCTTAAATTGTTACTTTGAATTGTGGTTATATGCCGTTGTGCCTTGTTCATGGAATTTTCTTTGGTTTGTCTAAAATAGTATACGAAATTGTGAATCAAATAGCAAAATAGGATAAAAATCCTAAACTCTAAATCCAAAAGACAGTGAAGTTTAATAGCTATCGAAACATAGCAAGATCAAATCAAAGGCTTTCAAAATTACTACGACTTAAGGAAACAGAAATAAATTAGGTTAAAGTTCTACTTAAGAGAAGAAAAAGAAATCAATCCTTATTACCATTTGTTACAAGAGGGAAAGAAAGACAACACAGAATTCATTGGTTGTGCATCAATTTTATTATTTTTCTTTGGTTTAATTCTGGTCCATGTTGTTTATGTGACTGTTGAATTACAATATATATTTTCAAATTATTCTCTTTACATGGTTGTGTGATTTCATTTACTGCCATCATTAATTCTGTTCTCCACTTACCTAGAAACTGGTCCATTGCTCCAACTTACGTTGAGGTCACTTGTTACACAAGTTAAAAGGTAACATTTACATATTCACAACATATTCAGGTATGTTGACCTAAACACCCATTACACTGACATTTACATTAACTAGGACATTGTTGTGGTCAACAGATGGCAAGTCAGCAATTTAGAAAGTTACCTTATAATATAACTTGAGTATTCCTCCTACACAAAATAAGTAATGTTCAAAAGTATGTAAGTAATCTTCAAGTACATTTTCCAAGTACACTTTATTTAGTAAGTATGCTAAAATCAATGCAGTAATATACATAAGTGTCTATTTCAGTACTTCTTCTGACTAAATTTTAGTCCCATGTTTTAGTTTATAAAACACATTTAAAGTGTACTTTAAGTGTAACATTAGTTACATTTAGTAAAGTTTGTAAAGCTTTTATTTTGAATTACAACTATACAACTTTATTGCAATTAAAGTTATAGGCATACTGCTAGTTTACTAGCTACAGTATATACTTATCCCACGTTTTAGTTTATGAAAAAAAACAAGTAAATTGTTTATTTTATTTTATTTTATATTAATACTGAAAATCAGTGGTGGCTGGTGGAAAAAAATATGGCCATACCACATCCAACAATTTCAGCAAACATTCCAGAATGATTTAATGCTAAACAGTATAAGTTAAAGAAAAACATGTAATATAATACAGTATATATGACTGTGTGTGTATTATGTTTTGGAATATAGAAGTGAACTTACCCTTGTCTTCTGTGTTGTCATCTTTAGTGGAACCAACTGGAGTGTTCACATCCTGAGGTTGGAGGACGTCCTGCTCCAGCTGTTCTTCAGCAGCGGGGAGGACTTCAGAGGCTGTAGATTCATGATGGTCATGGATAGGGATGGGCTGTAGAGAATTGTGATTTTTAAAGAGGGGAATATTAATAACATGAATTAAACATGAATTGAGCTAACAAAACACACCTGGGGAGACTAATCAAGGGGGAAAACTACAAACTGACTACAAACATGGCACAGGAAACACTTCAACATCACTTCAACAAGTCCAGACATGACACAGGGAACATAAAACACTTCTGATGCCTGACACCAATTTTCTTTTGACCCAGGACCTTTTAGTAGCGGGAATCTTACAGGAGGTTCTTGATAGGAAAAACATATCAGCATAACAGGGATCAATGAACCATTTCACATTTGTGGGGTTTTCAGAAGAGGTCATAGTTGGATAAACTTTGAAGAGCACACTTGAATAAACTTCTTGTCACCCCTAAAACCTTGTAGTGCCTAACTTGCCATGAAAAAAAAATATGTTAAAGAGTTTTAAGCCACCCTGCTGGACTCGCTTGCATGAATTATAGACTTTATACTTGAGTCAAGCATGCCAGCCTGAAAATCTTCCCATTGAACTTCCCAAGCTGTTCTGTTTGTTGTGAGGCAACTTATAAATAGTTCCAAGACATGAGCCATTGAGAGCAGGAATGCAAGACCCTTTCTACCCATCAGGCCACAGAAGGACCCAGGAAAGCCATGTTCGTTCAGCTGATCTGCACTGTTTTTGTGAAATGGAGAGAGCTGTCTTTGAACTCTAGCCGTCTCATAAATCTCTGCAGCCTCAGTCAGTACATTCCCTTCCAGGAGGCACTACAGCCTGTTTAGCGGCAGCAGACCCTTGTGATTCCTAATTACGCTATGCAGATTATGTTAATGTCCGTCTATCGGGTGAACAACATGGTGCGGTTAATTAGATGACAAGGCATCGGTGCTGTCAACCCTCATAGTGTCATTTTCTCTAAAGAGTTTACAGGTTATAAAATTTTAAGGCAGAGCAAGAGCTCTATAAAAACCGTGACTGGAGGTTGGTATAGATTATGTGGCTCATCCTCATGGCTAAGTGGCCACAAGCAGTTTAATATGCTTTAACGGTTTGTTGGCAGGTGGTAAGCAAGATGCTAATTAGCAGGTAATCTGTGCACATACGGTGTAATGAATTTACTGACACCAGGTTGGAGACACAGCGACTGACATTTAAATGGGAAGTGACCCTCCTGGCACCAGTGCCAGTGAATCTCTGTGTTTCTGTGCATGTGTTTGTGTGCATATCTCCAGATGTTCATGCTGACAGACTGCTTCAAAGATTTGGCATTTAAAGGAATATTCCAGGTTCAAGTTAAGTTTGGTTGACAGCACTTGTGGAATAATAATGATTACCCTAAACAGGAAAAAAGGGCGTAAAAGCAGAAATGTGAGTTGTTTGAATCATCTTTTTACAGTGCAGTTACATTAAGACTGTCCAACAAAAGAGAAAATTTAATGACACATTTTTACTCCAAACTCAGTTCATAATGTTGAGTGTTTGAAATAACTTCATTTTGTGATCTGACGTGACTTCTTATCATAGAATGAGGCAGAAAATATATTATTTTATAGTATTCTGTCCTGTGATAAAGGCTTATCGATTATCGATATGATATGTCGATTATCATTGCATTATAAATATAGTTTATTCTTATGAAAATATCCAATAATAATTAAAAGTAATAGATATAAAATATTATTTTGATATGACTTTACATTTACACTAATGTTAAAACACATTTGGTATTTTAACGTTTACAGACTGGCCCCATTCACTTCCACTGTAAGTGTTTTTTTGTTTTTTAAGAAAATGAAGGATGAGTCGCAATGATTTTGTGGTAAATCAACATCAAGCGTAACTTGTACCGGACTTATACTTGTGTTCAGATGTACTCAGAACATTCCTTTAAGCATTAACTATTTCTAGTGCTCCTTAAGTAAGTGTGAGCTTCAGGGTGGGTGGTATTTCCTTTTTTCGTAGATCGTTCCCCAAGATCAATTTTTAATTTACTAACAGTTCAACTAATAACAAATTCAATTACACAGCAGCTGCCTTCAAATAGACTTATTGGAGCCTGTGTTCTTACCGTCTGAAAGAAAGAAGACTCTAGCATGAGTAAAGAGGAAAGTGGAGTATTTTCCGCCCTTGTGCGAAGAAAGTGTGCTGTTTACTTATTAGCATTCAAAGAAGGAAAGGGTAAAAAGCAGTGGCGGGAGGGAGAGTGGAACGATGAGAGAGAACATTTGAGAGGTTGCTTGGGATAAACCTAAAGGTCATTTCAACCACCAAGTGTCATAACAACATCAATTTATGCCTATTCTATGCATAAATAAACTGAGCTCTCAAACTTCAGAGTCCTCAAAAATAATTTCAGACATTTAATCAGATCTATATCCACTCTCTATACATAGTTTTTTTTTTTGTAGAAAAAAAATGGTGCTCTGAAACAGTGACAATGTTTACATATACATCATACTGTATGTTTGCATTCATGCATAGACATAATGAAAGTTATGGTGGATATTCTGAATAAAGGGTTTATATGACCGAAAATTCTGATTAATACAGGTACAGAATAGAATATGCCACCTATCATTTCTAGAAACCAAAATAACTTAAATATGACCAAATTCTGAGCAATATAAAAAAACTACTGAATAGAAATTTAAAACCACATTTATTTTAATTAGAAATCTTTTGATACTCTATAAATGTCTTTACTGTCACTTTTGATCATTAAATCAATCCTTGCTGAAAATAATAATAATAATAGTTTAATGTAATTGTTTTCTACAAGTCTTTTCCATGGTTTCATGCTCTCAGTAGCCAATAATTCGCTGCAATAAAATGCATAGTGGCACAAACCCAAGTTTAATCTCATTGGAAATGTACCAGTATTTCATATAGTCTGGGTCTTATTGTTTTCCATAGTTTTCCTAATGGTTTTTGAGGATGAGGTCATGTTAGGCAACTTGTCCTCGCCTGCCTGATTTGGCTGCATAATTATGTTGTTAGTCGCATTTTATAATTTGCATAGCATTGTTTTCTATTCTTCTGTATACGACCTACCAAAGCATTTGTAATGCAAACATCACTCACAATATTTTGGTTATTCATTAATAATATAAAGAACACAAAAGTTGTTTCAGCATTCAAGCATGTATGATAGTGTCCTCCAATGCCAGAGAATCATCTATCATCACCAGGAGACTAATCCATCAGAACAACAGAACTATCTTCCTGCCAGTCAGCCGTTCATATCCACCTATCACAAAGTCATTATCCATTATGAATGTGCTACAAAAGATTATTAATAGAGCAAATGGTTCCTCCGCTATTAATCACATCCGGTCTGTGGCCCCTACAGCTAAAACGTGGCTCCCTGAGTCATTTACATCCTTATGAAAACCAAATATTCAAATGGCAGGAATAAAAAGCACCTGCTGGCTTGAACTTCAACCCCTTTGTAAAGTTCATGTCCAAACTGCTCATGCTGCAGTTAAAGGAATAGTTCACTGAAAAATGAAAATTTACTAATTGTTGTGATGCTTTCATCAGTTGTTTGAACTCTCATTCTGACGACACCTATTCACTGCAGAGAATCAATTGGTGAGCAAGTGATGTGCGTGAGTAAATTTTCAGCAAATTTTCATTTTAGGGTGAATTATTCCTTCAAGGCTGGAATATACTACACAAATTTTAGCCCAGATTTACAGTCTGAATGAGTTGACGCTTGCTGCTGAAAGTCAGAGCCAGTGTGCAATTCTGAGTTGATAGAATTCACAGAAAACTACATAGTGTATGACAGGCACAGACTATAATTCCATCCAGTCAAAGGATATCGAATAGGTTTGATATTTTTAGTTGATTTTACAACACATATTGTTTTCATCTGTCATGTATCTACTAGCAATGAGGCGCATGTTTCTGTGTGAGTTTGTTGAGTTCGGAACGACTTGAAAGTCTGGTATTGTGATACCCATTTCTCTACCATTTAAAAAGTCAACAAGTGTGTTGCTGTTCAGATGTGAAAAGTTGTGTAGTGTATTCCAGTCTTTAGTCACAAATCCAGATGGGGTCTGGAAATATCTAGAACATCTAGTCAAGCCCAAATATTTGGACTTCTAATTTCATCTCCTAAAATAAATTCTCATTTAGACTCATAACGTAGTCTGCCTGATGTCAGTTGTTGTTACATGCACTCCTTACATGCTCCTTAGATGCACATAATTGCTCCGAGCAGAATGTTGACGGGGCTTTGCAATCAGACATAAATATTCGTCAAATATAAATAATTAGGGTAACACTTTATTTTAAGGACCAATTCCAACTACTAACTAGTTGCTTATTAGCACGCATATTACTAGCATATTGGCTGTTTATTAGTACTTATAAAGCATATATTAATGCCTTATTCTGCATGACCATATTTTAGATCCTGTAATCCCACCCCATATCTAAACTTAACAACTACCTTACTAACTATTAAGAAGCAGCAAATTAGCAGTTAATTGAGGGAAAACTCTTGGTTAATAGTGAATATGTGTTCCCTATTCTAAAGTGTTACCATAATTAGATGCACTAAGTCTTTTTATCTCTCTATCGCTGGCCACAAATAGCCAAGTGATGCAGATTATATCTGATCCGCAGACACAAACTCACACACACTTTCCCATAAAGCTCATTAATCCTGGGAGGTCTAGAAAATCACTTGGTTGCTAGGATACACGATTAGGTGAGGTATACCCTAAGTGTCCCCATTCTTGTATCTCTAAGTACTCTCAGCACAAGCCAGTTCCAGACAGACAGGGGCTCTGATTCAAAATAAGTCCAGAAACCGCTATCTATTTTACACCATTACAGTTAATTCAATTATTGACTTTTTATCTGTTAATTATTGACGGATAAACATAATCACAGAATTATTTAAAGCACAAATTATCAGCTTAGCATTGAATTTAGGCTGAACCTCTCTGCATCTGCTATGAGACAAATACAAATTTATTATAAAAGACAATATCACACTGAGAGCAATGAGCCATCCAAGCCAATAATGGAGTCGAGTAGCGTCCAGAAATTCCCCAAACTTTTTTTTTTTTTTTTTTGGATATGAAACAGCGAACTGGGATGAGAGACAATCCCTTGCACGGTGGAAGCTGATTTCCCAGAGGCTCTTGTGTGTGGCAAAGGCTCCCAACAGTGCTCAGTTGGAGACAGTGATACATGAAGATGTGTCAGTGGAGGATCTTTTCAGTGTCTCTATACAACCTCTGTATAAGCACAGTGCCTACACAAATTACATCTGCTTTAGCTATCTGGGTTACAGGAAAGCTGGAGAACAGTGAAAAATACCTCTGCTGAGGATTGTGTTTTGGGAGATGATCCACAGTGTTGTACTATTTTTCGGTAAATACAAA